TTAAACATTTGAGATCATGGAGGAAGATCATGGGGAGGTTATAGAGGTGTGGGAGTTACAACTATAATGGTGAGAAGTAGTGGGAGTTATCTACATAATGGAGAAGAGTAGTGGGAGTAACTTCTTTAGGAGTTATAGACATCCACTACAAAATAATATTTCATAACACTCCCCCTTGGATGTCTATAGATAATGTGCCTCGTTAAAACCTTACTAAGAAAAAACCCTGTGGGAAAAAATCTTAGTGAAGGAAAAAGAGTACACATATCTTGTAATACGCATTATTTGCTGCCTCATTAAAAACCTTGCCAGAAAAACCCAGTGGGATAAAATCTTAGCTAAGGAAAAAAGAGTACAGCGCGTATTTGCCTCCCCCTGATGAAAACATCACTTTATTCTTCGGAGACGACGAATTCCAAGCTTGTATAACAACTTCTCTAATATTGAGATCCGCAATGTCTTGTGAAGAAGTTTGTCAAATTATCACTTGAACAAATTTGTTGAAGAACTTTGGTGAATGTGCTTTATTTTGTCTCCTTCGATAGTCCTTCTTTCAATTGATATAAGCAAACAACATTATCTTCAGTATTATTGGAATCTTCTCTTCAAAGTCAAGTCACACGTCTGTTGTGTGTTGAGCCCCTTGCTTTATCAGTTGCTTATCTTGGCATGACTTGAATAAGTATCAACAATTAACTGCCTTGTAATATGATAATATGGCAGTACTCTCACATGCAAATAGAATGTTTGAAGAACGAACTTCAGAAAATGCCTGCATTTGCATAACCAACAAAATCTTGGCGATATTTGTTAGAATAAACAAATCTAAATCAAGTATTCCTTTTGAAATATAATACTAATTGTATTCCAATATCTCCACATTGAAATAAAACTATATCTTGCTAGCATATTGTTATACTCATGGTTCTAGCCAGATATATTAGTGCACCAATTGCACTAGACACAAAAATAAATCATGTACGCCATGATCGCTCTAATCTACATAAGGATCTGCCGAAGATTTATTTAATAAATTTCTTGGGAACCTTAATATGCTTCAGAACAATTTAAATCATTCAAGGATTTTCATTATATGCATATCAAATGTATTGTCAGACCCCCCACAGGAGAACATGTCTCCTAATACCAGGATATTTACGAAAATTTTGTGCCACAAGTCGTCTTTATGTCTATCGACTTGATTTTTCATTTCACTTTCAGGTGTGGGGACTATCCGTCCAACTTCACATTTTTCAGGTGAAGTCAATTTCATTGCATATTTTTCATTTGGCCAATCATTTATCTGTCCAAATTCCATGACAGATTTGAGCTCAAGATCCTCGTCAATATTAATAATATTGAGCGCTACATTATATTAACAACATCGTCAACGATCATTTTACATCGGTTCCATCATCGCATAATAAAGACATAACTTATCGAGATCTCATTATTTTCAGGTACCTGAGCCTCTCCCATGAGGTCTTATAAAATGTTATGTCATGGTGCTCTTATAAAGCACTTGCCTCCTTATTATGACCATCTTGAACATTTGCTCCTCTCCTTCTTCAAGGAGTTTTATCTTTGGAACCGATTAGTCTATTACGCTTCATGAGTTCCATAGACTATGTCCATCATGGACTTTATTCTATTTGGAGCATTAGTAGCTGAAATATGACATTTAGTTTGGGTCAGCAAATGCGCATGGAAATATTTTGCAAATGAATTATCACTTGAACTTCAAGTTCATATTTTCTTGTACGAGGATCTAATGTACTCATAATAATTCATTCCATGTATTACTTTTTTTTCAGCTGCTCATTTTCTCCCCCTAATGTTGGGATCACCAACACATATCCCCAACCTTCATTGAGACCAATCTTTGTGCATTGTGGTGGCACAATTAAATCATATAGTACATCCATATTTCTAGATGAAAATATTTGGTTCCTGACCCTGAACCAATTGTGATGGGGAGAATTTATCATAACTTGTTGGCTAGATGCGTACAAGTGCTGTTGTATATTAAATAATATACTTAATACAAAATTTCTATTTGGAGTTTTGTTCTCATAACCAATGGTTTAGCTATAATTGGAGGCATACAATTTCTGCTAAACCAACTTGGATTTAAACCAGCATTATCAAGATAAATTATCATAATATATATTCTGGAACTGTGCTCTAATAATTTGAGCAAACAACCTTGCAAAAACCAAAGTGCAAGTTGATAACAAACGCACATGTGACCATACAATAGATGCATCTATTAAAATCATATAATAGTAAACGATCCACATGGCAGGTGATTGGGCCCATACATATATATCACCTTTTATTCGTTCCAGATATCAAGGGATTCAATCCCAACCTTAACTGGTATATCATGAGAAAAAAAAACATCACAAGAGAATTCTTAAAGAATCTTCTATTTCTTTAATATATGCCAATGTGAATTCTCAATCAATTTTCACATCATAATTGAACCAGGATGGTCAACCGGTCATGCCAACTAATATTTGTTTCAATAAACCTCTAGTTTACTTATGGCATGTGATTCCATCACGATGCTTATACATCTGTAGTACAAATAGAAGAAAAATCGGGTAACCTTTCATATTTACCCGGTATGAATATAGTAATATGAAGATATTCAATCTTCCTTTCATTTATAGTCTCAATATGCCAACCACTTTGGCTAATATATTTGAAACTCAAAAAGTTCCTTTTTGAGACTTACTACCACCAATGCCATGAATAATTTTATTTATTCCGGTAGTAACAAATTCGCTCTTTCGGAGCTCTCAATAATTTTGTACTACAAGATCTTTTATACCACCATCCAAGTGGTAAATTTTTCCTCCACGGAAAAAATTATCTTATCATTGTCACAATCAAAAACATTATAGACAAGACTCATTTCTTGCTTTACTTTTGCCTTTAATAACTTTTTATAAGGCATGGTAAAATATTTTTGGCGTACCACGTGTACGCGACCAATGACATATTCATGTAACCATATTGTAATATTCATTATCTTTATTTCTCTCAAACCTCCCTTAGAGGTGAGTTGTGGTATTTATCCAACCATGCATAAGCACATTCTTATGCATAATTTTTATCACATATATATTTCAGCATTTACTTTCAGGAATGAGCCTGCATTTACAATGCTTATCACAAGTCACATTTTCAACGAATGGACTATAATTATATGAACGTGTCTCGTATTAACAGACCACATTGATACATATTCCTTCGCCTTTGAAGGACCATTTTGAGAACCCTTATCGTTCTCCTTTTTACAATTACCATAATGATGACAGTTATTATTTGACCTTTGGCACGCCCACGTTCATTGATCAACCACTTGTCTTTATTTAGACTTATTATGCACCATTTTCACATTCACTTCAAGAATGAAGCAAATCAAGTGGGCCAAACTTTATGCTTTTTCATGAAAAATACATTATTTTTCTTTAGTCATCATTATATCATCAATATGGTGCATTGGGACTCAAACCCAATGCCTTATCCATATAAAGGCATGTTAGGACATAATGCATTGGGACTCGAACCCAACTACTTATTATCATGGTGCAATAGGACTTAAACCTAGTGTCTTACCCTCAAGGTACGATGAGACTTGAACCCACCGTCTTACCCTCAATCAATAGCATAATAGACCAAAATACAATTGAGGCTCATCCTCGGTACTCTAAATCACTTACCCATAGGGCCACACATAATGGTTATGCATAAAACCATTCTGTTATAATAATTTTATAAACATTAGTACTTCATCAATTTATGAACTCATCGCATGTAAGTTTGACTTCTTTAAGATATAAATGAGATCAACTATTTCTTACAAGACTGAAAAAATTTAGTTCACAGTATATTTTATTAAAAAATTGACAACAATATGTAAGTTATACAATTCATGTGTACTTCAAAAGTGTGAGAAAAATTTCATCGGTACTAATAACTCAAACGTTGTTACTATTATCAATATTACTAACAACAAAAAATAAGCACACAAATATAACCTCAGAATAATCACTTTTTATATTATCCAGTTAGCTCAAAGTTATCAGGCCAGGCCACTTACAAGTAAAAGTGCACACAATTATAGGGGCCATTGAGTGGTGGGTAAAATATTTATTAAAATTATAATTACCGATTTCCTTTTCTTTGTAATCAAAATACTAGATGCAGTGGAGGAACTATTACTAGCATAACATAAGCCATAACCCCAAGAATTCATGTAACTGACACAAACTCATACTGAAAAAAATTTAATTACCTATTCGATTTTCTAAACTTTAATAATTTAGACAAGGTCAAGAATGAAAATTATTGGGAAGTTAAATTGTCAACTCAAAAGACTTAAAAACACAACATAAGTAATGGAGCAGTAAACCTGGAGCATAGCAGACTCTCTTTCAAGTCCAACCTCACACTTACCTGCTTTTGTACTTACTAGTTATAGTAGTTATTCTTTTCTGATTCTCGTAATGAGACTAATCAGAACATGGGCGAAAAAAAACCAAACTCAAATCTTGGTTAGAGACTCGTGCTGATAACGTATTACGAAACTTAGCTCAAAGTAACAATATAGAACAATAAAATAGACAACAATGTAGAGAAGAAGATATGAGAGAATCTTATTTCTTCTATGTATTCAATGTGATGCCAAAACCCTCTATTTATAGGATTACATAGAGGCATACAAAAGAATGTCATAAACATGACATTAAACATTTGAGATCATGGAGGAAGATCATGGGGAGGTTATGGAGGTGTGGGAGTTACAACTATAACGGTGAGAAGTAGTGAGAGTTATCTACATAATGGAGAAGAGTAGTGGGAGTAACTTCTTTAGGAGTTATAGACATCCACTACAAAATAATATTTCATAACACATGATAATTAAAAATTGATTTCAGAAATTTCTACGACCGGTATAAAAAAGCACAAAAACACAAACCGGCGTCGTTTTATGAGAGAGCATCCTCAACTTGACGAAGAAGTCAAATCGGGTTCTTTTTTTCAGCAAAACTCCGATCTTCACCAAATATCGATAATTCTCTGGTGTTGGAATTGAATTTGTGACGATGTCTAAGGAGAACGAACCAGCAAAGCTCTTATTGCCTTACCTTCAACGTGCTGATGAGCTGCAGAAGCACGAACCCCTTGTTGCCTATTACTGTACGTCTTTTTTTGGCATTTTTAAACCCTAATTTCGTTAAAATCGTATCAAATTTGGAATTTTATATGTTCTCTCTTATTTAATATGTATGTTATCTGAGTGTGTTCGCCTAGAGTTGAGCAGAATGATTATAGATAATTTATAATAGGTACTAGGTGGGATAGTTGAGTTGCGAGCAAATTGGTCCAGACAGTATGATTATAAAAGAAATGATTATACAGAAACTTTATATAGTTGATCCAACTAGTTTATGATTGATTGATTGGTTTATAGAAAAAATGATTATAGAGAATTTATAGCAGGAACTAGGTGGAATAGTTGAGGTGCGGGCAAACTAGCTCAGGCAACACTATTATAGACAAAAATATTTACAGAGAATTTATATAGTTGATCCAAACAGTTTGTGATTGATTGATTGGTTTATAGCAAAAAATAAAATAAAAGGATTGATGAGAATTTATATCAGGTACTAGGTTGGAATAGTTGTGGTGTGGGCAAACTGGCCGAGACAACAGATTATAATTGATTACAGAGAGATTTATATGATGGATCCAACTACTTTGTGATTGATTGATTAGTTTATCAACTAGTTTGTTGTTGATTGGTTTATAGCAAAAAATTATCATAGAGAATTTATAGCAGGTAGTAGGTGGAATAGTTGAGGTGCGAGCAAACTAGCCAAGACAACACGTTTAAAAAAATAATTATAGAGAATTTATATAGTTGATGCAACTAGTTTATGATTGATTGATAGGTTCGAATTGCCCATCATCAAGCAGAATTATTATGGAGGATTTATAGCATGTACTACGTGGAATAATTGAGGTCCCAAGCAAACTTGCTCAGATAGCACTGGTTATAAAAAAGAGTGATTATAGAGAGAATTTATATAGTTGATCTAACTAGTTTGTGATTGATTGATTGGTTCAAACTGCCCAGGATCAAGCAAATGGTTATAGTGAATTTAGAGAAGGCACTCGGTGGAATAGTTGAGGTATGGACAAACTGTGCTAGACAACACAATTATAAAAAATAATAATAACAGAGAATTTTATAGAGTTGACCCAATGTGATTGATTGATTGGTTCAAATTGCCCAGATCGAGTAGAATGATTATAGAGAATTTAAAGCAGGTAATAGGTGTAATAGTTGAGGGGCGGGCAAACTGGGCAGAGACAACTTATGAAAAGAATGATTATAGAGAGAATTTATATAATTGAGCCAACTAGTTTACGGTTGATTGATTGGTTGGAAATCGTATGTTAAGAACTATCAATGCAAAGCTTTTTCAAATAGCAGGTACTACTTAAAAAAAAGAAGTAAATTATAGCGAGTATTAGGTGAAATAGTTGAGGTGCGCAAACTGACTAGATAACATGGTTATGTGAAAATGAGTACAGAGAATTTATATAGCTGAGCCGACTAGTTTGTGACCGAATCGTAGTTGATTGGTTGATTGATTGAATATATAAGTGTGTTTGTTGGTTCAAAGTTGTATGCTAAGGACTATCTATGCAAATATTATGCAGGTCGATTGTACGCGATGGAACGAGGATTGAAGATTCCTCAAAGTGATCGTACTAAGACCACTGGTGCCCTCCTTGTGTCCCTTATGAAACAGCTTGAAAAGGTTCCTTCTTTTTTTTTTTTTTTTTTTCAAATTTTCTCTTTGCATTTTTTTGGTCCATAGAACAAACTATTTACCAATATTGGAATGAAATAGGTTCGAATAAAGCAGGATGGGCATAGAGAATTCACGTATCTGATCCCAACTAGTTTGGGATTGAGGTGTAGTTGATTGACTGATTCATTGATTGTTTCTCTTCTTTTGGGGTGGGGGTGGGTAGGTGGGGTGGGGGGGGAGGGGGAAATCACTTGGGTGTAAGATTAAATGGTTAGAAGCTTTTGGCGCATGAGCTGTAAAAGCATCATCAAGAAAGAACACTGTCAGAGTTTGGAGAATATCAAGCCATATTGGCAAGGAATAGAAGTTGAGGAATATTGACATGGACAGCCATTTGCATTTCTTCTTTTAACTTAAACATAGAGATATTATCCTTGATTGCTATATGGTAAACGATTTATTTCTCAGGGAGTAGACACCAGAAAACGTTTAGGTAGAATTCTTTGTGATGTAATAGGGAATTCTGATATTGTTTTACTGTAACATGTTTTCGCTCCAGGTTGGGGTCAGCGAAATCTTCCATTTTTTAGAGTGACCAATCTATTGATCAGGCTAAAGTAAAGTAGATCTTTCGTAATGGTTAACATTCTATGAGGTCGTAGCTAGGGAGTTACCTAAGTGTTAATGTTATACTTCTTTCTGTTCTCGTGAATCATTTTTCTGTATTTCTACAGGATAAGATGTCGTTGAAATTGGGGCCTGATGATCATCTGCATTTGGAGGGATTTGCCTTGAATGTTTTTGCAAAGGCAGACAAACAAGATCGAGCTGGACGAGCAGACTTGTAAGAGCCACTTAAGCTACACCAAGTGAATTCTGTTTATAATTGCACCTTTCTTAATCAAAATCGATGGTCATAGGCCCGTCGTTTGTAATAGTAGCACTTCGTCCCTTGTATCTGGTTTAGGTGTGCTATCCTCATGCCGCGTAACATATATAATGAAATGTTTAGTGCTAACTCTTTTTGGCCTCTATATTAATACGTTAGCATTTTTACGCTTAGATTACCTCAAATTTATTTGCTGGAATTTTAGGACTTCTCCACCCTCCCTCTTTATTTGTTAAAATAATTCGTGGCAACCTTCCGACTTTAGTTATGATCATAAAATTTTCTGTGCAACATATTGAATATGTCATACTAATTGAAAAAGCATTTATTCAACAAGTGCATGCTGTGAATGTTGATTGTTATCTGATGATTAGGAAGTTGTTCACATAAATTATCTGGGTTTTACAGGAATACAGCAAAGACGTTTTATGCAGCAAGTATCTTTTTTGAGATCCTCAATCAGTTTGGTGAACTCCAGCCTGATGTGAGTTTCCATCATACCATGGCAATTTTGAGTATTCATCCTTTTACATTACAATCACCGTTCTACCAGCATCCTTCTGGCATCTGGATTTTGTAAATTTGAAAAAAAAACATGTTTTCCTGTGTCCATATAGCCTCTGTTTACCCTGTCTGTTGACTTCCTTTATTCGTCACCAGCTTGAGCAGAAACAGAAGTATGCAGTTTGGAAGGCAGCAGATATAAGGAAAGCTATAAAAGAAGGACGGAAGCCTGTTCCAGGCCCTCCTGGTGGTGAAAGTGATGTTTCGGAGCTGTCCAGTGCACCAAGTGGTGAATACGTATGATTCATGCTTACACTATTGCCTGAAACCCTAAAAGGACTCCCATATAAGTCTAACTCAAAATTTCTTGTGTTCATGCCACTAACTTAAAGAATGCTGGTTAATTGCTGTGGTGTCTCTACTACCCCACTTTTTATTACATTATGTCACGATTTCATCTATTTTTATCTTTGGAAAAAATATTTAGAAGTATGATCCCACTTTCAGTTTTTGGCAACTTATACTTAAAATGAAAGTTGAAAACATTTAATTAAATAAGTAAACCAACGAGTGTGCTACAATTTATAGTTTGTTGATTAAGCATATTCCTATTACTTAAAGTTGTGGGAGGTATATCAGCTTGGTGATCCAGTGGCAACTTTTCCATTTATGAGGAAAGGCCCTGTTTTTTTTTTTTTTTTTTTTTGGAGGGGGGAACCAAGTATGAGGAAATGCCATGCTTTTAGATAAATCTTAAAAAGGATAACTCTTAAGTTTGTATCTGTTAAGAATTGTTTTTGGTTTGTATTTGTACCCTCTGTTGAATCGAAATTTGTGTTCTTTTTTGTATAATAATTGAGCATAAAGGATCTTTGACTGTGTTTCAGTAGATCAGGAGCTAAACTTGTACATTCAGGGTAGATGCCAACAATTAGTTCCTTTCTTACAGCGTTAGCGGATATAATAGTTCTGGTATCATGGACAAATCTGACTATATCATTTATGCAGGATGTTGAACCTAGTGGAGCTAATCCAGCCATCAAACCCGCTCCAGAATCAGATTCCTCCCCTCGATTATATGACAACGTACAGTATAGTGCAAATAGTCAGTCACCTCCGCCATCTATCCCACCACCACCTCCTTCACATGCTCCTCTGTCTCATCCTTCATATTCTAGTGGTGATTATCCTTCTAATGAAGATCATTCTTCTCATAATTTCCCGCAACCTCCGCCAGCTAGCAGACACGAAAATTCTTCTTACTCTCAGTTGTATCAGCATCAACCTTACTTGCAACAATCCCAATCGCACTTGCCACAGCACTACCCTTCTCAAGACATTCCCTCTTCATATCCCAATTTCCAGTCGTATCCTAGCTTTACAGAGAGCAGCCTACCTGCTGCACCATCACATCCCCCTTCTTACTATCAAGGGTCTGATACTTCCTATTCCACTATGCCACCATCTAGCCTGGCTAATTATCCATCAAACAGCCAATACAACTCAAGTGGTAGAAATGGGAATGCAGCGGAGCCTACCGCTATTCCTACTAAAACATATCAATACGACAGCAGTTACCAACCTCCACCAGATAAGATTGCTGAAGCACACAAGGCCGCAAGGTTTGCTGTCGGGGCTTTGGCATTTGATGATGTTTCTATTGCTGTAGACTACCTCAAAAAATCACTTGAATTGTTGACAAACCCATCGGCTGGTCAATGAAGTGCATCCTGCCACAGCTGGATTGTTTGAGCTCTGTGCTTCTCTTTTGGGTTTGTTCACTCTTACTGTTTTGTTTGTGGAGATGGTTTGATTAACTGTTTGTACCATTGTTCAAACTGAATTACGACGATGTTCACAGATGCATCCTCCGAGTCCCATCATCTTGTAAGTGCCCAAACTTTTTGGTGGAGATTGTTCAGATTTTTTTTTAAAAATATTTATGTGCAGAGAAATTTTTTTCTTCCCCTTTATATCTCGTTTCTAATACAGGAGCCCGAGAACCATAAGGAACTTTGAAATTGAGGATGTTGGCCCTTCACCTATTGTAAATTTGCAGCCCTTTTTCCTATTTGGAGTATTGAAAATGGGTCACTAAGACTTTTGCATTGTACTACTTCTGAAACAAACTTTGCGCCTATAGTTTTCCTCTGACTTATGGGATGACATGACCCTAAAATCCCCCCGCCCTGCACCTCCTCTTTTCGTTCATTGCTTGTTCAAAAGTCTTATAGTCACACAAATAATATAAGCACATTTAAAGCTATAAGTTTCAAAAGTTTTCATCATTTCTTCTTAAGCTTGCTTACTGGAACTTTTTCACATAAATTGAAATGAAATAATTATACAAAATATATATATCCTTGTGCATCATCTACATTTTATTTCATGCATGTAAATAGATTTCTTGGGTGACCAATGCAGGGAGACATGTCAGCTCAGTGCATAAGCTTATTTCAACAGGAAATTAGTCTTACTGTTTGCTCATAAATCCAGTCATTCCCCCCCTATTAGCAAGCAAGTGTATAACTAATAGGGAGGAGCTGCCGACATGTTAGGAGGAAAATTTCGGATAGTTCTAGTTCTTCTGTACATTCCGAGTATCTTGCTATAAACTATTAGTCTATAGCGATCCTGATTTTTATTATGATGCATAATATAAAAGATTATTATCTTTATCCATATCTATATCTATATTATATTATATTTAAGGAAAAATTTCACATTAGAACAACTGGGCTCCCTACTTTTCAATTTTATAGCCCGTATTTCAATTTACAACCAACTAGCCCAAAAATAATAGGCTAGGATTCAACATCCAACTACAATGGGTTCTCAAAATTACTATTTAATTTTTAAAAAAGATTCCTCAAGCTTTTAAGTTATTTTTCGAATCAGTAACTATGACTCAAATATTAGTTCAACAAACCAAATTCATTTGGGTGGTGAAAATTAAATTTTAACAAGCTTAAATATGTGGGTTTAAATTTCGAATTTGATTTTGTGAGAAATTTGGAGTGGGTGTTATTTAGACTTGTTAGAAATAGTATAAGGAGGATGTGTATAAAATTTGAAGTCATTTAATGGAGATTTCAACTAGTTTTGAACAAAAGTTGCAACTGAAAATCGTGGAAGAAGTTCGTCTGCAGACGCTTGTATAAAGGTGTATAAAAGTGTATAAGGTGTGTTTCTACACTCATATACGCTATTATACAAGATTATACATAGTTATACAAAAAACTGACTTCGTCTTCTTCCTAGCGGATTTTCTGAAATTTAACTCAAATCTTGCTCAAATCTACTCCAAATCACTTCAAATTTAAGTTTTGAACTCCTTATGATATTCTCAATCAATTGGAATAACACCCAATCCAAACAACTAACAAATTCAAAAATACAGATTTTCGAAAGCAAAGCTTGGAATGGTCTTTAATGGTGGACTTCTACTCTTCAATTTTCTTACATTTCAATCAAGTGACACAAGAGTAGAAGCAGAAAATACACGGTCCCTTGAATCATATGTAGAAGATGTGAGAAGAAGAGATAGTGAAAGCAATGGTTGTGAGAACACAAATTTAACTCCATAGATGTTAGAAGCAATGGTTGTAAACATATTTGAATTTGCTAGAGCTTTCAAAATATATACAATGTGGGCTAGGTCGGGTAAAACTTAAAAACATGGGCCATTTTTTGTTATGATGTGAAGTCATGTATTTTCTTGTAATTCTTTCTATATTTAAAGCATGAAGGTCCTTAGCGAAATATCGTTAGTCTATTTAACCATTTAGAAATAGAGTTCACATTGAACAAAATAATTATTTAAATATATTCACTAATATTTAGGAATAATCATTTAATTAACTCTCTAATGTTTAGGAATTATTATTTAATTATTTTTTTAATATTTAGGATTTTGATTTTAACTAAAATTTTGGTTAATAATTTTTTCTTGATTTGAACTAGGTAAGAAGTCCTAATATTTAGAAATCTGAAATCAGTAAAATCGGAGCTAGTTGCCCAAATTCATACAGATGGCGTGGATTATAACACATGAAAATCTGAGAATCTTCTGAATTCATGTTTATGTCCCTAAAACGCCAAAAAACGAGGAATGATTATGGCAAAACGATAACTATTGTTCATTAGGTCATTTTTTATGGGTTTCAAATTTTTAGGAGATTCAGGGTCGGTCGATTGAATTTAAGCAGATGGCGTGGACTATATTATTTTATGCCCCTAAAACGCCAAAAAATGAGGAGTGGTCATGCGAAGCAATAGACTATTGTTCATCATGTTATTTTTTTTTATGAAATAATTGATTTCATTGCTATGCATGACAGCTACAAAAAAGTTATAGCAAAAGAGGAATAATGCTGGCTCCAATACAAATGTTCAGGCTAATATTAAGGAGCTAACAAAATTTAAATAACTATCAAGGGTATCTATGGGGGATAAATATACCCAAGTGAATAAAAACATAATACAATTAGCTTTGAGAGACTGGAAAGTACTCCCTCTGTTTCAATTTATGTGAACCTATTTCCTTTTTGGTCCGTGTAAAAAAGAATGACCCCTTTCCTTATTTGGAAATAATTTACCTTTATGCAATGATTTAGAGCCACACAAAATATATGTGCCTCATTTTACACCACAAGTTCAAAAGTCTTCTCTCTTTTCTTAAACTCCGTACCCAGTCTAATGGGTTCACATAAATTGAAACGGATGGAGTAGTTGATAGTCCATCAAAACATATGCTATTCCTTTCCTTCCAAATACTCCAAAAGATAGCAGCAGGCAGACTTCCTTGATGGTGCTGTCAACTTTCCAAAAAAGCTCCAACTCTCAAAAGCCACCCTGATGTTATGTGGCATGACCCATCTAAGTCCAAAAAGAGAAATAAACATATTTCTGAGATCTGCTGCAACTGTAGTGTAGGAAGAGGTAGTTATGTGATTCTGCCTCCCTCTAGCACATGTAGCATCTATTGACAATCTGAAAATTTCTTCTGACTAAGTTGTCCTGTGTTTGACATGGTCCATGGAGTGCAGTCCAGTTGACACACACAACTTTAGGTGGCAGCTTAACTTTCCATATTAGCTCCCAAGGCCAGTGGTCGGTGATTGCATTTTGAGCTTCTGATAACTTGTAGGTTGCTTTCACGGAATACCTTCCTACATGTTCATTTCCCCTTCTAAACTGGTCTGGTACTAGGTTGTTACTGGAGTAGCCATTCAGTGTGGCTAGTAGCCTGACTAGCTCTTCAAATTTCCAGTCTTGCATGTTCCTTCTGCATAGTATGTTTCGGGTGTTCGTCCTCCCTATGCTGCAAGATTGTTGAATCTGGATCTCTGGCTATCTGAAATATTGCAGGGTAGTCATTCATCAAAATAGTGCTTCCTAACCACTTGTCCTTCTAAAACTTGATATGTTGACCATCCCTACTACAAAGTGTTTGTTCACTGAGAATTCTTCCCATAGCTCACAAATGTTCTTCCAGCCTCCAACTCGATGGGAAGCTCTTGATAATTTTGGTGCACCAATGATTCAGGACTCCATGTTTGGCATTGACAACTTCCTTCCAAAGACATTGCTCCTCATGTGTGTACCTCCATAGCCATTTCATTAACAAGCATATGTTACGAAGGGCTAAGTTTTTTATGCCTGATTCGTCTTGGTGCTTTGGCAATTGAACCTTAGACCAATTGACCATATGAAATTTGTGATCGTTGTTGTTCGCTTCCCACATAAACTTCCTTCTAATATTGTCAAGTTGTTTCAGGACCCTACTACTCATTGGATATAGTGACATATAGTAAGTGAGGATGCTATCAAGGACACTATTAATCAGGGTCAATCTTCCACCCATTGATACATGCTGCAACTGCCAAGAGGCTAGCCTTTTTTCAAACTTTTCAACTACGCCATTCCATATAGCTTCTGATTTAAATTTGGCCCCTAGTGGAAGCCCCAAATAGGTAGTTGGGAAAGTCTTTATGCTATAGCCCCGTATGCCAATTCCTCTAGGTTATGCACCTTATTTACGGGGTAAATCACACTCTCGAGCATGTTGATAAGCAAACCTGAAAGAGCTTCAAATAAGGAGAGTTAGGTTTAAATAGAGCACCTGATTTCTATCTGCCCCATAGAAAATCAATGTGTCATCTGCATAGAGCAAATGTGCGATGTTTACTGAATTGTTTCTCCCCACATCAAAGCCACCACATCTGCTTAGCTTTGTCCAACATTCTACTTAATTCTTCCATTGCTAGGATGAATAAGAATCGAAATAAGGGGTCTCCCTGCCTCAAGCCCCTTTGTGGGGAGAAAAAACCAACTGGACTTCTTCTGATCAAGATAGAGTATTTCACAATGGACATGTTAGATTTAATCCATTTGATCCACCTTCATCTGCCTGAGAATGGAGATGAGATAAGACCAATTTAGTTGGTCAAAAGCTTTCTCTATGTCCAGCTTGCATAAGATGCCTGTTCCCCTTGCTTCAGTTGCTAGTCAAGAACCTAATTTGCTATCAGTGAGGCATCTGTAATCTGCCTTCCCTTAATGAAGGCATTTTATTGATTTGAGACCAATTTTCCCACAACTTTGTTCAATCTTTCTGCCAATACCTTAGCTATGATCTTATATACACTACCAATGAGGCTAATTGGTCTGTAATCTCTAAGCTCCAATTTTCTTGGGAATCAATGCAATGAGGGAAGCATGCATGATCTAACCATCCAACATTGCTGATGGTAATGACTCATAGTTGCAAGAATGTCATGCTTGATGACCTCCCATGACTGTTGGTAGAAGGCCATTGTATATCTATCAGGTCCAGATGGTTTGTATGGAGCACTTGACTGTATAGCTGCTAACACTTCATCTTCACCAAAGGGAGCTTCTAGATCACTCCTCTCTTTATCTGTGATGGATGCTATGCCTTCAAAATTGGTAGAAGGCTTCCAACTTTCTTGCTCAATGTATATCTTTTCATAGAATTCTAGTGTTTCCATCTTTATCAGCCCTTTTTCCTCTATGATTCCATCACCAAGGCCCGCAAAATTTTAGGAGATTTGGGGCAGGTCGCCCGAATTCATGCAAATGTTGTGGACTATAGCATACAAAAATCTGGGAATCATTCTGAATTTCTATTT